TTAAAACGGTGAATTAGATTAGAGCCCTGCACGGGCCTAAAATCTGAGCCCGTGTCCGGCCCGGCCCGAAAAGGTTTTCAGGATTCTCTGGCCCGACCTGAGCCCGACCTTTTTTATAACCAAGTAAATGAAAACAAAGTGTGTCAATCCTGACCAATGTGTTAAAAGACGTGCAGGATCCAATCAGTTTGTTTTTCCCTCGTTTACCGTCACGGAGATGATGGCGCACTGGCTCTGGTGGTAATCAAGTTAAATTTTATCTCTTTCCAACAATTTTCACAAGAAAACAGAACAGTCAAAAGCAGGGCTTGTGCTGACCGGATAGTTCCCGTATTTGACTGTTTATTTTGACGGAGAAAGAATAGAAAGAATTACCCCGACGCATGCAGACGAACTGACATTTTATTCGTTACACACATCGCAGATGTAGCTAAATCGCCCAAGAAAAGATTCCCATCAACATCTGAGCTGGACACTGAGCTCAGCGCAGCTCACTGTCAGCGCGTATGTGCACAGCGAGCTGAAGTTGTGGAGATTGGCTTGGAGCGCATCGCAGAACCAGAGCGCATGCAGGAAGGTTCCTCCCACTGAAGCGAGTGTTTTCCAAACCCTGTCTCTCAGAGAGACTTGTCACTTAGAAAATGTTCCCTGATTATGAAACTTTGGCTGAATAGCGCTTGTTCCTGTCTCCAATGTGGCAACACATCCAGGAGCCGTCTGAGGATAATCCCAGAATCTCACATCTTCAGCTCAGAACACGCCCATGATTACGCACAAGCGTGACCCGTCAACCCGGTCTCACAGTAAGACCGGGTTGGACCTGTTCAGGTTTACGCAGACAATCTTTACATTTAGAATTGGCATACATGTGTAAAATTAATGCAGTAAAATATAAAACATTTTATTTAAATATCCATTCATTATTTTACAAGCACAGAGAGCCGCATCAGATGGATGGAAGAGCCGCGGGTTGTGACATGTTTACTCCAGGACCAGAGAGGACGCAAACTCAATACATCTCTTTTATTGTGAGGTAATAATTTCTCCGAGTTTTGCGGTTGCGGGCGGGAGTAGACATGCACGCTGCAGGTGCGGGCGGTAATGGTCAGAAATTCAGCAGGAGCGGGATGAAGAAAACAGTCCCGCGCAGGGCTCTACTGCTGCGTTTGTGTTTCAATTTTTTTATGAATTCGATTAAAAATAATGGCGCCCGGCACGTGTCCGAGGTAATTACACAGTCGTTGGCCCGAAGCCTGGCCCTCGGGCCTAGGGCTTCAGTGCAGGGCTCTAAATTAGATATTATTTTACGTTTACGAGCGGTATGACAAAATCATTTGTTGTGTCTACAATTACAGCTTCATTGTTGGAATCGCAAGAGTCCTACCTTTCTAATGACATATAATGTGTATACGTACATAGAAAGAGCTGCAAAAAAGACGCTGATTTGACTTGGAAGTATGTAATGTTCCGTCTCCGAGACCAAATTCAGAGGCAAGAAGGAAAACTGCTTTAAAAAATGACAGCGAAGGGCTAGGGCTATCGCCGAAGGCCGCTAAACGTGTCCATTCGCCCAACCTTAGTATGCACAGAGCAAAATAAATAAAAAGGAAAGACTCCCTTTTAACAGGAAGAGATTTCCATCTGCTCCAGACTCGGGGAAGATGATGGCCATCAGCTTCCAGTGGTTGGGGTTGAGAGGGAAGGAACAAGAGACACAAATACAAAAACACTACGATGCTGGTCATACCTGCTATCAGAAAGAAAAACACAAAGTTAATGATTCCAGTAATTAAATACATCAAGAGCAATGACAGAGATGACTTTTCTCCTCAAGTACCCTCAGGTTGTAACAGCATAATAAAGAGTTGTCATCCGAGAGAGCCCCAGTTAAAAAAATTGGAGTTTTTTAAACCCTGAACCAGTTGTTGGTTCTTCTGAGTCTCACAGCTACTTGATGCGACCATCAACCACAAAGTACGCCACGGTTAGTTCAGGCTATGCACGTGATGATAGGGGCGGTACTTTGGAGATATTGGTCAATGGACGTAGGACAGAACACAGAACAGCGCTCCGTCGCTCTACTACCCTTCCTCGTTTGGCTGCGACCAGGTGAAAGTGCTGCCATGTTGAACTCCTTTAACTGAGCTTTTTCCTGATTTTAATCCCAATGACTAAAATAAGCCAGGCTAGAAATAACAAATGCATGACCTTCAGATGTAAAGATGATTAAGAAAAGTGTTGGTCATGGGTTGTTTTATTTACGAGTGATTAAAAATAACTTAAAAGCAGCTTTTTGCAGCCAAGCTTCAGGTTTTTGTCTTTACCAAGGCCGATGGTGGAGCCAACCAAGGTCTTTCACTCATACATCTCAGTACTTGTGCGGTGGTCTACAGCAGGAAAGAATGACCTGCAAGTCGTACTCTGGGGGAACATGAGCTCCTGATTCAGCACAGAAAAGTCAGCCAGCAGAGAAAACGGCTTCAGAAGACCGGATTTGGAGACTTAATTCGGATATTTAGATATCCCACCTCTAACAGTAACACAACTCTTTCACTGGCTCTGTTTGCTTTGCAACGTCGATGTTTCATCTCCACAAATAACACAAGCCTGAAGGAGTTCTGCTGTGCTGCAGAGTTGCTATGCTAACGGTTAGCTTCTAGCAGCCGAGACATTCTCTGCCGTTTCCTGGAAGCTAAACCAACAACGACCTTCCCCGTCGTAAGTCAAGACGGGTGAGTCCACGAATGTTAAGTGACAGTGTGACGTAGATCTGTCGGGTCTATTTTCTATCAGGAGATAATGCAGGAGATCGGTGTAGGAGACTATTTTAAAGTTCAGACTCCATGAACATTTTCTAAAATAACAAGTAAAAAGACCGTTTCTCAGTGAAGGACCTCTTTAAAGAAAAAGCTGCATTTCCGACTGGACCACTGGATGGTACAGAGTCATAAATGGAACGTGTTTTCTATTTTAGACGTGCCGTTTATGCTTTTATCCAACGCCGGTCTCCTTTACGGTCCGTTTTATGATTTGGACTCGTTCTAACACGATCTTGACTTCATAAGATCAGTGAATAAAGTCCATGCAAAGTCAAACATGCCATCTTACTGATCAGATTTGGTCCAGATGAATCACTCAAGTTCAACTGATGCAACATTATTTATGACACAACCACCAAAACAGGTAATTGAGGAGAACTGCCTTCAATAGAAAAATGCACAAATAAAAGCAGAAATCTGATATTTTCAGTGATTTGGGAGGAGTTAACCATAACAGGGACGAGGAGAGGCACACTTCATAGCGGATGCCAGGGTATCTGCAGGTTTAAGGGAGCCAAATTTAAGACTTTTTAAGACCTTTTTTAAGGCCGCTTTGACCAAATTTAAGCAAGTTTTTAAATTTAATTCAAGCTATAATTTCCAGCTATTGCCTGGAACCGGTGCTAACCACGTCGCGAACGTGGGATTAACCATCCAGTTACCATTACAGTTGCACTTCCCCATGGCGCAAGCTCCCACTAGCTTAACCAGCTAATGTGCTCATCTAAAAATAGCCCCCTTTCAGAACCAACTGAACGTGCACGGTTCCGCTTACGCCAACATCGTACACAAAAAATACACTAGAAATTCACGAAAATTTTATAGGAACAAAATAATCTTGTTTATTGGGTCTTTGAAAATTTAAGACCTTTGGAAACTGTATTTAAGGATTATTTGTCTTTTTTAAGGATTTTTAAGGCCTTAAATTTGGAAAAGCAAATTTAAGACTTTTTAAGGACCCGTGGATACCCTGGGATGCCTACAAATATCAAGATGGTGCAACGTGTGGGTTAGGAGTTGGTTTTAAACCTTACAACAGGTAGAAACTCCCAATGAGGAAACATAGCTTTAATAATTAGGGTTCTGTGTAAATTTCCATCAAATAAGCCACGCTGTGCTTTTTTAGGCTACCGTCTCTCCAAGTCAATAAGCCAAAGGGGTTATAATCACAGACCACGACGACCAAGTGGAAAAGCCAGCATGACAAACTTCTGGCAGACATCTAACCCCTAATCACTAAAAAATGCATGACTTAAAGAGCGCATGAAGACGTCTTTATGCTATTTGTCAATGAACCTGTTCAAAAAAAAAGGTCTCTACGGCACTGAGCCCTGCAGATGGAGCCGAGCGAAGCCAAACAGCAGTGAGGCAATTAACATCCGCACTCAGAGGCCTTCTCTCCAGCTTTAATGAGCCCCAATTTAAAGTTTCATCAGGCCTTTAGAGGCAACGATTCACTCAGACCTTACAGTGACTGCGTGTGTGTGCTCGTAGCCACCGCTGAGCGTCGGCGGGTCTCCGGGGCTCGATGAAAAATGAGAAAAATCCTGACATATTGAGAAGTGATTCAAGCAAGAATCTGGGCCCAATAAAAGCTGTTTAATTTAGCTGTGTCAACATGGCGCGCGGCCAAACGAGGAAGGGTAGTAGAGCGACGGAGCGCTGACGAATGTGAGGCCTTTCCGGTCTCCCTTTACCTCTCTGGATTAAAACACATCTTTTCCTTCAATAATTCCACTTCTCCTCTTACTCACCCCCCCACCCCCGCCCCCAAGAGCCCATATAAAAGTGTTTCTCTTGGAAAGTAGCCCAAGCTGCATATTAAAGTGTCACATTTGACGCTAAATAGATGAAGGTGTGAGCACGCTTTTCCTGCAGTGTGTGTGTGTGTGTGTGCGTCATAATTTACACAATGGTACACAAATGTCTGCTTCAGTGTCCTTAACCCCCTAGTCTCTTTTGTCCCTTTACAAAGTATATCTGCCTGTTTTCCCTCCTTATCTATTTATTTAGCACATCACAGCGAAGGCGCCAGGCTGCTTTGCAAACTGTTTGTGTGTGAGATAAGAGCGGCGAATAAGCGGTCCTCGTGCGCACAAGCCTGGATTTCTTCACACAGGTTTCACTCTTCCACTGTTTGTGCTTCTTGTACGGTTTCACGTTTCAAGCTGCAGCTACACGTGTTCCTGAGCAGCACGGAGGAAACCTGCGGATGGCGACCACATGTTTAAACCAGAGATGACAGGAGAAACAGCTGACCAAACTAAACTCAACAAACTAACGGAGGGAGAGGAAAGTCTGTTAGGGAGGTAGGTTTGCTCCAAAGAGAGGCTAATATTAGCTTAGCCTCACACTAGCGTACGTCTGCTCTGTTCTGATTGCTCAGGCTGATGAGTTTTCTTCCAGTTGCAGCCAATCAACTTCTCCTAAATCACAGAAATTGTGAGGCTGTTGCTCTGCTATAGAAAACCGTGGCCAAAAAAGGTTAATTTAGGGCGTTTCTGTGTGTAAATGACGGTGAACGGACACGAGCACCTGCATACGCACAGGTGGGATCTATCGTCTGGCGATTGCGGAGGAACGTGTGAACGAGAGGCCATCGCGTGTTTCATAAATCAGTCTACTGACTGTTCGTACACACATTCTAAATCTCGGTCGTAGGAGGGGATGTAGGTCAGTTTCGTCGAACGTTTGATTAACGAGGACCCACATTTGCTAAATTCTACGATATTCTAGTTTTTATTTTTAATCCTTTTCACATTTTCTGAATAGCAGAAATCAATTGACCCCAGGATTTTTCCAGTGATGCTCCATCATGGCTGCAGTGTGCAAACACGCTGCAGAACGTTAACATCCTATTGTTGAAATCATCTGTAACCGATTTCTGAGAACTAGAAACATGTTTAGAAAACAATCACCTCCTAATAAGAATCAGATTTTTACAACCTCTGCATGTAATTCCTTAAATGTCGGACACTGGGTTCATTCATCCGGACGTCTATTGTTCCCCGAGGGGAGCACATATGCTGTAACTGTAATGGTGTGTGTGTGTGTGTGTGTGTGTGTGTGTCTAGGGCCCAGGCCAGCTGTTGCGCTGTGTGCATAAACACCTTGTTAGGGCTTAGTAAGCTAAGTGTTAAATGGGGTGGAAATAGTCGATGCTCTGCTTTGTAACTCCATGGAACGTCTCTACAGTTAGAAGCAGGAATTTGCTGACAAGCACAAAAAAACCAAAAACACGTCTGTTTTGTGGTTATGACAGCGTTTGTTAATGCTTCTGTTTTCAAATCCAAAGTTAAATAATTCTCTCTAATTATTTTCCCTCCTTTTGTTTCATCTGCCCGCTCCCTCACACCTGTTTAATTTGTTTGCCTCGCTCACCGGGGCCTTTGTGGTGCAATATGGGCCATTCCCATCTGTACCGGGTCGGCCCGGCCCGGGCCGGGTAGCCCCAGTCGGCCCCAGCCTGGCCCGGTTGATTCCACACACCCTTGTCTTAAAGAGCAAGTCACCCCCTACAAGAAACTTACTTCACTCCCTCTTCATGTTTAAAAAATGCAACAAATGCTGTTGCCTAGCAGACCGAGAGGGCGGAGCCGCTAACAATTACACACACACACAGGCTCACAACGGCATTGTGACATCATAACGTACCAGTTTACATCATAGCATACCTCTTAGCCAATAGCGGTGGCAGATTTAAATTCAACTGCAGTGAAGAGTTTTTACCTGACGACAGCACAACACTGACAGTTTTAGGCAGAATATTTAAATTTTAACTAAAATGCACTTAAGTGCTAAACTATTGACTACACGTGTCTGCAGCACGATTAGACACGCATTTATATAGTTTATCAGGGGTAAAAAGCTGATTTGGGGGTGACTTGCTCTTTAAGCCCATGTGGGCTGATTCTACCCACCAATCAGAGGCTTGCTCTAATGGAAGGTGTGAATTTGCTGTCAGCAGTGGGTGTGTTGGCCCTGGTCGGCCTGAAGCAGACCCCCTCGAGAAGAGGGCTGAGAATGAGCCTTGGTTGGCCCGGAAAAATACCAGGCCACCCAGATATGGAAACAACCTAAGCCCCATTCCCACCTGTACCGGGTCGGCCCGGGCCGGGTAGCCCCAGTCGGCCCCAGCCTGGCCCGGTTGATTCCACACATCCTTGCCTTAAGCCCATGTGGGCTGATTCTACCCACCAATCAGAGGCTTGCTCTAATGGAAGGTGTGAATTTGCTGTCAGCAGTGGGTGTGTTGGCCCTGGTCGGCCTGAAGCAGACCCCCTCGAGAAGAAGGCCGAGAATGAGCCTTGGTTGGCCCGGGAAAATTCCAGGCCACCCAGATATGTAAACAACCTACGCTACCCGGCCCGGGCCGACCCGGTACAGATGGGAATGGCCCACTAGACTAGCTGAAAACATCTCGTCTGGTGTGAGATCGCAGCGCTCTGGCCCTTACCGTGCCCGTTGAGCGGTTGCCTGGCGAGGAGCTTGCTCTTGCGGGGCGTGGAGTTGCATGAGGAAGAGGAAGCCGAGGCTTGGCTACTGCCTGCTGCAACGTGTGAGTGGACGCTGCCTCCGCTCCGCACCTCCTCCTCCTCTAATTCTTCCTCATCCTCTTCCAAGTCCTCCTCCTCCTGGGAGCTTCCGAAGTAAGCCATATTACTGGGCAAGGCGGGTGAACCTGGAACAGGAGGAAGACGACGGAGAAAAGGTTAAATATTAGACATGTCCAATATTATCGGCCAACATTGGCACTAAATGTTAATATCTGAAATGATCGGTATCGGGTGAAATTTGATATACTCTGCACATGTTACACATCAGACTCCTCAGCTACTTATGCGCTCCATAAAAATGTCAAAATATGAAAGATCTTTAACACATTTTTTTTTAGATATTTCTGGTTGTTTGGCACAACTTGAGATGAAATGTGCCCTGTGTGATGAGCACATGCTGTCCTCACATGTAGCTATGTGTAGCTAGCCAGCTAGCAAACAACTAAAACACAAACAGGAATCTTCACCCAAGGCTTGCTTTTCCTACGGGAATGTCTTCATTAATGTTTTATCATAACATTGTCTATATCAATAAAAAGAACACACGAATAACTAATAAACACATCTAGTGCCACGCTTAGCAATTAGCCTAGCATAGCATGCGTACACCTCTTACATTTATCAACTAAGTAACTTTAAAACGCGTTCAAACATTCCCTAAACACGTGGATATTAACAGAATGAATGTTCAGAGGCACACGCGGATAAAGTACATACAGATTGTTGAGCCATTTTTTTCTCTCTTTTCTGTGTAAATGTAAACAACGCAAACGGATAAAAACAAGTCAAAGGTAGTTTTGAGGTGAGAGTGAGCAAGTTTAGTTAATACTTCATCTCCTGAGGAGCAGAGATGCACAGCGTCATTATCCATCGAGGAAAGGGCTTTCTGACGAACGCAGTAAGGCCCAATTTTTAAACTATTCCTCAAACGCAACGGAGAGTGTATATCTGTGATTGGTCAACTTAACAACAGCCCAAGATCATTTCCGGCTTGACGCCACGCCCTTTATATTAGTCAAGACATCTGAAGCACATTTCACCATCAATGTCCCTCCAAGTTTGAACAAGAGCTGCATGTTCGCCCGTCCTCCGCTTTGTTCTGTTCAGTGGACGGACTTCCCACCAACGCCGCTGTCCCCTTCGCTCCCATTGAACTCTTTGTAACAAACGGTTTTGTCCCTCATGGTAAATGGCCAGTATCGTGCCTTATTAGGGTTCTACAACCCCCCAAGGCGCTTCACAACCCAATCAGTCCTTCACCCATTCACACGCTGGTGGGGTTGAGCTACGATGTAGCTACAGCTGCCCTGGGGCGCACCGACAGAGGCGAGGCTGCCGAATACTGGCGCCACCGGTCCCGCCGACCACCACCAGCAGGTAATGTGGGTTAAGTGTCTTGCCCGAGGACACAACAGCAACATTCTCTGGCAGTAGCTGGGATTGAACCTACAACCTTCCAATTACTGGACAACTCGCTCTACCTCCAAAGCTACGGCTGCATCCTTAACAAGCAGTGCCAGTTGATCTTATAATGGATTTGTAATTACAAGCTGATGTTGGAAAATGGTAAATGGCCTGTATTTGTATAGCGTTTTCTTAGGGTTCCACAACCCCCCAAGGTGCTTCACAACACAATCGTTCACCCATTCACACACTTGCGGGGATGAGCTACGATGTAGCTAATACTGCCCTTAAATCTAACCGTTCGCTGCCATTGACAACTAAAGTCGTCATTTGCATTATTTCTACTGTGTGGGCATAGGAAACGAGCCCCCGCACCGTGGGAACAAACATCTCAGCTCTAAAGCCGATCTTCCTCCGCGTACGTCACACGTCACATGATCAGGAGGCAGAAAATCCATGTGTTAGGAGATCGTTTTGGGCTTCTGCTGTAAAAAAAAGTGAGGCGCGAACCGGAAAAGTTTCTGCCGATCACAATTCAACAACGGATTATGAAAGAACGGATAACGCTCGAAACGGATTCTTCCTGATATAAGAGGTGAGTCTCCGCTTTGTTTTGGTTGTTTTGGCGTCGACATCATCCTAGCGCGCAACGTTCTGTGACTCTTTAAAAAAACTGTAAAAACGGTGGGAAACGGCTGGCAGCGAAGGGGTTAATAACTTATTCAAGTCTTTTATTACCATCTAGAACTTAACTGTCTTTGGCCAAAAGACACCACAGAGTGTTTGTCAGGATCATCTCAGGGAAAGTGAAACTGAAGGAGTTATTTTCTCACTTATGTATCCAGTTTAAGTACGAATGATGGAAATAAGCAACGCTAGTTACCCAAATAGTTTAGTTTTATTGTTTATGAGGGGTGAACCCAGCAAATTTTGGTTCATATCAGCATCAAAAATTAAGAGTTAGACTATAGTGATAAGTCAGGCATCGTAAATAAGTCAATACTGAACATCGATATTAAAAACAAAGTGGAATGTACAATTTTCCCATCTCGCGTGGTTCAACTGCAGCGACACCAGCGTGTCAGAGCTGCAACATAACGTAGGAATAAAAGTGGCTCAAGGGTTTGAGAGTAATGCTGATTGTGTTGCTGCTGTTATTATCTCAGCTGGTGGCCTACTGATACTCTAACGGAGCAGCACCGTGTTAGCACCCGCTCAGTGACATGCACACATACAATCAAGAACATGGAGCGTATCCCAGTGATGGCGGCTGTAATGGAGACCAGAGGTTCCATTCATTATGAAAAGGTTTTGTTATTGAAGTTATTTATTTTGTGTTGGACATTTAAAACAGATTCTTTAGAAGCGGAGGGACTGGCCACCCTTCCTGTGTAAAGAGGAAATGTTTGTTAAATGTCAATTTGTGTTTAAGTTAATCTCCAAAGTTTCACTCACCTTTCCGGTGGTGTCTCCTCAGCAGGGCGGGGCAGCAAAGGGACGTTTGTGTCCCAGGTGCTGCTTTTAAGCTGCTGGAGCATACCACTTAAATAAGAAGGTGTGATTCTTGGAGGAGTTATGTGAAACCTAGTTTCTGTTTGATTGAACTTGGATTTATTTAGTATGATTTGTATTTATGTAAATGTTTGGTACCATTTATTTTTGGTGGTTAGGTTCTGTAAATATTATTTAATTATTATTTCTTTGATTACCCCTCTTCTTGGTTTCTTCCAATCAGTCACTTGGTTATAAAAGGCAGTGAGTGTTGGTGTTGATGACAAAACATGTTGCAATAAAGCCACCTCAACCTGATTCATTTGTTTGCCTCTCCTTCAAACCACGTGCCGCCGCCGGTCAAAACTGACAGCGGCTTCACTTAAATAGCAGCTTTATTGTTTCTTAATCAGGTTTAAACACAAGCACTTTGCAGTCTACGCGTATTTATGGAACGTAAACTTCTAAGCTTAAGTTCATATTTGTTTTTTTGTTGCACAGAATTGGAAGCAGCTGGATAGAGAGCTGGGTTTAGGGCTAGCTAGGTTTTTTTTGTGGCTGGAATCCAATCCAGAGGACTGGCGGGACATAACGAGGACTCTTCTCCACGGAGGCTCTTAGCTTTGACACTTTTCAGACATCCTGTATTTTACGTACACGTACTCGACATTTGAAATCTAGAAATGAATTACTTTAACTCTATTGCTGCTGAGCCAATCCCACGTCTGTCTCTTCCACTTTCCCCAAACAGGATTAACGTCAGACTCGACCCTTATTGCTCTCTCTCTCTCTTTCCGTTTTCTGTCAAAGTCCATAACTTTTATTGTCATCTCTCTGAAATCTGCTTCATTGGGAGCTTGGAGGAGGGGAATTGTGTTTGGCAGCGGGCGGCCTATAGTGTTACTACCTCAGTTAGCTGAATGTAAACATGCACTCTGCCTCACAAAAGGTTACGGAGCTCAAAGCTGTAGTCATAAAAATCCCACGATCCCGCGCTCATAAATCATCGCTCGCAGCCTTGCTTTGTGCTTCGGTTCAGCGTGGAGAAAAGCTGCAGAAGCCGAGGGAACCCAAAGAAAAGCACGCTTCCATTATGAAACCGAAGAGAAATGCTAAGCTACTGCAGATTGCCACACATTTTGGCTCCTGATGTCATTAGCGTACCATGTGACTGTTTATTTCAACTTAACAAGAACGGGAGGTTATGCAACAGCTTTGATTAAATCTGGCTGTGAGCAGGAAACCGTGGATTTTATGAAGTTGTGCGTCCTTAATAACTAAATCGATTGCACGGCATAAGCAACTACTGCAATTTTTATTACCCTTTTAGGAGCTTTGGTGTTTAAGGCGCATTAATGGAAAGTAATGAGTGATTATAAGCCAATTAAAAAAAAGAAGTCTGTGAGAAGAAAAGGCTGAAGTCAGCCGGTCTGAATTAAACGGAGTTAAAGAGCAAATAATACGACTCAGACAAGCCGATCATTTAATTAACATTCTTGTTTTGGGAGACTGCTGAAAACTTCTTCTAATACATTTAATTGAGAGAAAACTAGATGCAAAAGGAATGGATGACTGAAACTTTTGATGAAATATGAATAAGTAAGAAAATTCATCTGAAGCTTGTAGGACACAAACAGGTCATTACCTAAACTAAGACGTAATAATCAGAATCAATACAAGCCACTCCTCAGTTATTAGAGTTATAAAACGTAAGGTATAAAAGGTTGGAGAGCATTTTTAAATTTTCTGTTAAAAAGGGAACTCGACTCGTATTTTTATACATTTGCTGTGGTCTCTAGCAGAACGCCTTGTAAAGCCGGGCGGACACTGTGCGACTTTTTCACTCGTAGCGTTCAGCTTCAGCTCAAACTGTACGACTTCCTCGCAGGGCAGATCTCACGAGTCATGTGCTCACACTGCACGACCGGTAGCAACACAACGGCCCTAAAAATATGCTAAAAATAGCCGTTTTTACACAACACGTCAGACTTTTTTGTCGTGTTTTGCATGTTGTCCTTCGGGAGAGCTGCAGGAGGACACACAGGGATTTATGGGGGTTGGATGAGGAAAACGAAATAAAGAAAGTAAATCTGTGTTTAGTGATCAGTTTAATTTGACATGAACACGACAAACACGCTTTCTTGACAATCTTTGTGAGTAAAAAAAACGTGTAGAAACAAAAACGAACAACGTGTGTTATTAGGGAAATAGCGGGCGAGCGGTGTTGATG